AACAGGGGTCCTTATTAAACAATAAGTTGGAAAATCAAAGAATATTATTGTTTGTGATTTAAGCATGTTTAAACAATGTCCAAATCACATAACATCTTATTTCACAGAATGTATCATAGACAGGTGGAGGGTCAGAGAAAAAGAAGAAGACCCCCAATGAGATGGATTAGTAAATGGCAGCATCGATGGACTCAAGCGTGGCAATAATAGTGAGGTTGGACCAGTGTTTTGTTCTGCTGTGCATAAGGTTGCTATGAGGTGGTGCCAACTAGATGGTACCTAACAACAACAACAACAATCATAGACTTAATGTCTATGCGATGCATGTTGTTGTTGTTGTTAAGTGCCGTTGAGTCGGTTCCGACCCATAGCGACCCTGTACAGGGTTTCCGAGGGTGTAAATCTTTACGGGAGTAGAAAGCCTCATCTTTCTCCCGCGGAATGGCTGGTAGTTTCGAACCGCTGACCTTAAGGTTTGCAGCCCGATTTGTAACCACTACACTACCAGAGCTCCTAAATATGTATATACTTACACATATATCAGAGTCATGGTGTGGCGCTGTGGGTTAATCCACTAGACTGCAAAGTCAATTTGAACCGCAAGGTTGGCAGTTCAAGCTCACCAGTTGCTCCTCAGAAACCCTATACAGGGTCCCTATGGGTCAGAAATGACGTGACAGCACTTAACAAACAAACCCCCCCCCAAAAAAAATTATTTATTTATTTATTTATTTGTTTGTTTTGAACCACAAGGTCAGTGGTTCAAATTCACCAGCTGCTCCTTGGAAACCCTATACAGGGTTGCTATGAGTTGGAATCAACTGGATGTCACTTAACAACAACAGCACTTAACAACAACAATAATATATGATATATCTATATGTGTGTGTGTGTGTATATATATATCTATCATATGGTCCTGGTGTGGCACTGTGGGTTAATGCACCAGACCGCAAAGCCATTTGAACTGCAAACTCAGTGGTCCAAGCTCATCAGCTGCTCCTAGGAAATCCTATACAGGGTCGCTATGGATTGGAACTGACTTGATGGCACTTAACAACAACAACATATATCATGTATTATATATCATATATTATTGCTATGTTGTTGTTGTTGTTATGTGCTGTGGAGTTGGTTCCGACTCATAGCGACCCTGTACAGGGTTTCCGAGGGTGTAAATCTTTACGGGAGTAGAAAGCCTCATCTTTCTCCCGCGGAATGGCTGGTAGTTTTGAACTGCTGACCTTGTGGTTCGTAGTCTGATTCGTAACCACTACGCTACCAGAGCTCCTTATTATTGCTATATATATATATGATAATATATCATATATTATTGTTGTTAAGTGTCATCAAGTCAGTTCCAACTCATAGAGACCCTGTATAGGGTTTCTGAGGAGTGGCTGGTGAGCTTGAACAGCCAACCTTGCCGTCTATTGCTTTAATCTATAGCACCACACCAGGACTCCATGTATATATAATTATTGTTGTTGTTAATTGCCACCAAGTCAGTTCCAACCCACAGTGACCCTGTATAGAGTTTCTGATGAGTGGCTGCTGGTGAGCTTTAACTCCTGACCTTGCAGCTCAAACCAACTTTGCATTAACCCACAGCATCACACCAGGAATATATATATATATTTGTTTATCCACTTATCTGTTGATGTATGTTTATATTGTTTTCACCTTTTGTGGAATAGGGCTGCAATAAATATCGGAACATTAAGTGCTTGTTGGAGCTCCTGTTTTCAAGTCTTCTGTGGTTTACAACTAAGACTAGCATTGCTGACTCATATGGTAATTTTATGTCTAACTTTTTGAGGAACTGTTAAACTTGTGCACAGCAGCTGTACCATTTGACAATCTCACCAGCAGATGAGGATGTGTTTGTAAGTATTATCACTAATACTCATTCCACATTTTCTAAATGCAAGATACTGTGTTAAACTGTCTACACAAATTAGATCAACATGCTTTACAATTAGCATGCATTCTCACATAGGGTCATTATGAGTTTGAATGGGAATTGACTGAATGGGTGGCACACAAATATATATATACATATATATATATATATACATTTTTTTTTACTGTTTTATTGTGGATTATGTGATAGTTTATATGGGAGAACATTAGCTTTATATCCGTCCTATCGTATATCGTTTCATTGCCATGATTACACAAGGACAATATTATGTGGGGTAGTTGGAAGTATCAAATGTGTTTATAAACATTGTTTATTTTATTACTTGCCCTCTAAGGTACTTCATTTTAATAGAATTGGAGGATTTCTCCTAGCATATCCATATCCCATCTCCCCCACCCCCAACAAATTTAAGGACAACTTCTTTGGCCTGGCCCCATGTCCAAGCATAGTTTTTTTTTGCCTATGAATTCTGAGGCTCAGACAGGGAATCTTGCAGCAAATTCTAATCAGGGTCAAGATTCTTCAAGGCTGATGAGTTCATGTTCTACAATGACTACTGGGTCAGCCAGAGTTCTGTTTTTTGCTAAAATTACTCAGATAGAGGTACATTTTAGCATAATTAAGCACATTTGTGTTCACAGAAGTGTGTTGTTACATAATGATCAATATGCATAAACTCATCCCTATCATTTTTCTATGAAGAAAAATTTTCTTTTCTATGAAGAAAAACTCCAGAGTTTTAATAGGAAATAGGTAAAATATTAATGGAATTTGGGCAAATAGCTTAATTACTTCATTGGAACTCTTATCTAATCAAAAGCAAATATTTTCAAAAGCTGATAAAATGTGAAGCAAGCTGCTTTCATTATGGGCAAGCAATTTAGCATGTCTGGTCCAGTTTTCCTTTTTACACTTTGGAGAGAACTTAAAAAATAGCACCCAGCAAGGCCAACCCATCATTTCAGGACTGCTGATAAATCTGCAGTTTATTTCTTAAGAAAACAGTGTATCATCCCTCTTTTCCCCAGAATGCCAGATGGACAGGGAGGCAGGCAGTCTGGAAACCTAGCCAACATCGACACATCCAACTTTTGTTTCCTCTGATGAAAGTGACTGCAGAGTTGGGCAAAGGCAGGCAAATCATTAAGACATACTGATTTAATAACAAAGATTGGTATAGCCCAGATCGTTTTCCCCCTAGATTCTTCTGATAAAAAGTGTTTGCTTAAAGGATTTTTAAAACATGTTTCTTCAGTAAGTCTTTAAATGGAACTGTGAATAGCAGCAGTTGGCAGAGATCTGATGTGGGAAGAGAAAGCCCATAATAGTAAGTAACAGATGCTAGCCCTACTGGGAAGAGCTTACGTCTATTTATGCCTGTACTGCTTTCCAATTTTTGCTCAATTCCTTTAAGTTCTGTCTTACTAGGGTTGGTGCCACCACCCCTCCCATGATCCTCCTCCCATAGCAGACCATACAGAATCCTTGAGTGTGTATTATTCATTTCAATCATAGAATATGTGATAGTTGCAAATTGCCTATTTCTTTTATGAATACTTGTTTTGTAAACGTGTCCTACATTGAATTACATTAGTTATAATCACATTAGTAACTGAGCAGAATTCTTTTTATATTTTTCTTCCTTTACTTTAATTACTATTTCATTCTCAGTTACTGATATAAGTTCACAAATTCTCATTACCGCAATATTGTAGTTAAAATGCCACAAACATGACAAAATCAGCAATCATTAAAACACTGGCAACAACAGAAACAACAACGCATGCTTGTCCCATGTACAAAACCATGTGATTCAAAGCATCGTTATGATTGTGCAATAATGACAGCTCTGGCCAGAATACATTAGAAGGTTCAAAATGTAAATTAACAGAATTTTAGCCTTGGTGGTATATTGATACATGTAAGCTCAGCTAACAAAAAATGATTTTGTTGTTATAATTACAGGTATTTGGTTATTAAGAAATAATAAATTTCTGCTGAAATACTACACAAAAATTTTATAGACAATCATTTGGTGTTACCCCATTAAGTGTCACCCAGTATGGTCTGAGTACCGCCCCACCCACCCACCCACCTTCCTAATGATGCCACTGCTCTGTCACTGTCGTGACAGAAGAATGACTCATACTTAAATATAGTCATCAAGTGTCACACTTGATATTAATACCTTTGTAACATTACTGTTAAGCCCAATTCCCTGTAGCAGGGTTTTTTAGGGGAAGAACTGTCTGCCACCATCCTCTGGGGACCACAAAGGGCAGCGCCTGCAGAAGGCCTGTTCATTGTGCACCCAGGGGCTGGCTGATCCTGTATGCTGTTCAGAGAAGCAGCTGTCAGAGACAGCAGTGGGGGAGGGGACTGGACAGGGAGGGGCAAACCTTCAGCTGCTGCCCTGATGGCTTATCTCAAGTGTGCCTTTTTGCAAGTTTAAAAATCTTCCTAAAAAGAGAGAAATGAGAACAGGGTTTCAAGCTGTACAATTCTTCACCAACTTGCCCTGCTCCGGATCCAGTGCCCAGGGCCTGCACAAGAGGAAAACAAAAACCATCCGTTCCAAGTTTCTGAAGCCCTGGTGTCTACCCTCCCCAGCAGCAACGATTGCCTTGCCCTCAGTAAAGAGAATAAGTTTGTTTCAGCAAATTTATTGTAAATTCAAAGCTTCCACAGCAGCATCCTCTAAAACACGAATCATTAAGAGGATCCGTTTTGAAAACGTAGTGCAAAGTCCGCTGTATTCGTCACAGATCCTGTAACTGTACCGAGTCCACAGTCGCCTGGCCTTTTACCCTAGTTCCTGTGGGCGCCGGTTGCTGACTCACTCCAGCTCAGCCAGTCCTTCTTCCTGCTGTCAACTTCCCAGCCTCGGCCTCCTGGGGAGCAACTGCTCCGGACACTTGCAAAGTTTCTCAGCTTTAGCGAGTCCCTCGCCGCCGCTGGGCCGACCATCTAAACACGGTCCGCTCCAGCTCGCCTCTCTCCGAGCGCCGCCGCCTGCCTGCCAGTCCAACGACTCATTCCGGCTCCCTCGGAGGGCTGAATGCCCAGACCTAGCCACGCGCTAGGCGCCTGGTGCGTCACACCACGTTGATCAGACAAAGGTCTCCGCGCCCCGGCCGTCACTCGGGGAGGGGGATACTGGGCACCCAGTCGTTGACACTGCGGCTCTCCTCACAGAACAGGCTGAGCTTCTCCAAGGCAGGATCTTTCCACGCGTCCTCATTGGGGTTCTGCAAAGAGAAGCCACCGGCATTGTCAGCGTGACTGCCTGCCGAGCGGGGCGGGGCGAGGCGGACGGAGCAGGGGCAACGGCCGCAGTGGGCACTCACCGAGATGAGGATGCAGTGGAGATCTCCCGGCGTGCCCGCCTCATCGCCGGCGCCCACGATAGCCGCCAGCCGCTGCACGTCGCCTACGCGCACAATGTCGATGTCGTTCTCGCAGCAGAACGCCTGGATGAGCGTAAAGTGGATCTGCAGCGCGATGTCACCTTCGTCCTCCTCGTCGGCGGCCAGCACACAGAAGGTCACGTTGTCAGGGTCCCTGTGCGGGCGGAGAGGGCGAAGTCAGGGACCGCATGACAGGGATCTCCCCGCCGCCCCCACCGGCCTGGGCAGCGTCTATACTCACACGTTCAGGACTTTGGCTGACTCGTAGACGCCAACCGTGAGACAGCCCTGGCGCTGCGCGGACAGCAACAGCTCGTGCAGCGCTTTCCCAGCGCTCTGCATCCTGCGGGTGAAAGGACACTGTGAGCCAGGCGCAGAGATCCGGTGACGGGAGCCCCATCCCGTGACCGGATTCGGACCATCCCAGGTTGCCAGCAGCCACCGGGCAGATGCGCCCAGCGCAGCGCGCTAACTACCTTAAATACGGCAGAGTAAAGCCGGCTAGCCAAAGCCATTTCAATTTCAGGCTCGGTTCCCAAAACGCCCGGCTTCCGGCGCGGACTCACCTAGTCGTGCTTTCCGGGACTGTCTCTTGGCCGCGGACTTCTTCTAGAGTCATAGTTCGATCGGAGAACAGCAAGTTATCCACCAAAGAAAAAGAAGACCAGAGTAAGCAGGGAATGGCAGAGCTGTCAGCCACACAGCTCGGCGCGCGTACTGCCAATGACTGGCCTTGGCACCGCTGTGCTCTCTTATATAGGCTGGGAGGCAGCAGCACCGCCAGCTGGCGAGAGGATACGCGCGGATTGGCCCGTGCCGGCATTCTGATGCAAATGAGGCGGCGAGCGAGCCAGGCTCGTGCCAGAAGGCCACGTGGGGAGGGGTGCGGGGGGGATTACAATGCTTCAAATCTGCCCCTTTTGTCAGGGTGTTACCAGGCAGACTGCAGCCTGCAGATTTCGTCTCTTTTTTTTTTTTAAGTCCTTAAAAGGAAATAGAAGGCTTTTAAAAAACAACAACAACAACTTTTTGGCTAATGATTCTGCAATTTGTGAAATGCACCTTTGGATAATTAAAAGTATTTTTGTATTTGTTTTTATTACTGCCTTTCTTTCTTTCTTTTGGTTTGCACTTGATGATACCTTAAAACTGGAAATTAAAGTAAAGACATGCAACGCTGCATTTTTGCTTGCAGAAGGCGGTTAGCAGAGGCCTTTCCAGCTCACTCTAGCTGCTCTCGGAGTTAGAAGTCGATCCCGTCAACGTATATTTAATCCCTTGACTAGGATTGCGGCTGGAAGGTCCTGGCAAACTTCTGCTCAGGCGACCCGGCCCCACGGGGCGCCAAGGCGAGCGAGCAGATTGCGGACGGCACACGTGGCTCGTTTGCATTTCTATGGAGGGCGCACAATAGTGAAGGTCTGGCGTGTGGCGGCTTGGAGTTGGGACAATCGATGCTTTCTCTTCATAGCAACACTGTCCACCTGCTGCCGGGTGGGGCTGGGCAGGGTTTCGCCGGTTCGTGGGGGTAGCCAGACTACTCCGGCGCAGAGTCTGGGGCCTGTTCCTACTTCGACTTCGTGTGGGGGTTTCCAGAGTGCGCGCCTGTGGTAGCGTCAGCCCACGCCCCCGCTCTCCACCAACCCCATCCCACCTCCCACTCTTCTCCCTCTCCCCCGGTTGATCAACCTCGCTGCACCAGGTCGAGACGCTTGCAATGATAACCGAGCTCCAGTTCTTGCTATCAACTGCGAGAGTTGAAAAGGATCTGATAGGATAGAAGGTTGTCCCGGGACTGCTTTGCCGTCTACACAGCCCAAGCTACTGGCTGACCCCGACCCTGCGGACCTGGAGCAGCCAGGGCTGCAGCGCACCGCGGGAGCGGAGAGATTCGGATTTGCAACTCTGAAATCCGTTTTCTCCTGACGCCATCTAGAGGCGCACAAAGATCCTGAACACCCTAGACCTTCCATCGCCCTTCTGAGACATTCTTTATTCTTTCCTCTGCCTCTGTCCCTGGTTACCCGGCAGCCACAGCAGGATCTAGCTAGCAGATTCAAAGCATCAAAGCTGCATATTAATGAAAATTAGAATAGAGGACAGAGAAACCCACCCAGGTCGGGTTGGATTGAAAGAGAGAAAGGAGATTAGAAAGGAGACTTCCACTCATACACGGTGTCTTGGTGTGGCGCTGTAGGATCAGCCCTGGACTGTTAACCATAAGTTGGCGGTTCAAACCCACCAGCCTTCTTGGTAACCCTATACAAGGTCGCCATGAGTCAGAACTGACTCAACGGCATACAACAAGCAAAAACTCATAAACCAATGGAATCACAGCCCTTATTTCTGCTTTATTTCCAAGGTTTTATAATTATTCAACTATATATGCATGCATCCCAGAGCAGAGGCCATGGTGGCACAGCTATTAAAGCGTTCAGCTGCTAACCAAATGTACAAGGGTTGGAACCCACCCTTGAGAAAAAAGCATCAATTTCCAGAAAGATTTATAGCTTTGGAAAACCCTGTGGAACGGTTCTACTCTGTCCTATAAGTCGGAATTGAATTAGTGGCAGTTAGTTTGGTTTGAATTTTTTTTTTTTTTTTTTTTTTTTTTTTTTTTTTTTTTTGGTGTATCCCAGTGCTGTTGAGGCTTGCACTACACAGTACACCTCACTTAATATAGTGTATTTAAAAAGATTTTTTTTTCCAGGAAAGGAATAACGAAACGAAAAGCAATCTTGAAACAGTTAAACAGAAATTGCTGATATTTGACCTCTTCTAAACTACAAACTCATATGCATGCGAAAGCTGGACAGTGAATAAGGAAGATGGTAGAAGAATTGATGCTTTTGAGTTATGATATTGGAGAAGAATATTGAAAGTGCCATGGGCTGCTAAAAGAACAAACAGATCTGTGTTGGAAGAAGTGCAGCCAGAGTGCTCCTTGGAGGCCAGGATGGCCAAACTTCGTCTCTCATATTTTGGACATATTGTCAGGATGAACCAGTTGCTGAAGACGGATATCGTGTTTAGTAAGGTAGAGAGTCAGAGAAAAAGAGGAAGACCCCCAACTAGATGGATTGGCAAAGTGGCAGCACTGATGGGCTCAAGCATGGCAACAATTGTGAGGTTGGCCCAGGATCGAGCAGTGTTTCCTTCTGTTGTGCATAGGGTCGCTATGAGTCAGTATCGAGTCAATGGCACCTAACAACAACAACCTACAAACTTGGAGTCCTGGTGTGTTGCTACTGGTTAACGCGTTGGACTGCAAAGTTAATTTGAACCACAAAGTCAGCATTCAAGCTCACCAACTGCTCCTGGGAAATCCTATACAAGATCACTGTGAGTCAGCCCCGACTCAATGGCACTTAACAACAACCTATAATCTTGCACATCCATAGGGTCTAATCACTAAACTCATCACTTTTGGTATCAGCATCTATCTGTGTTAAATCGACACATGCGCTGCAGCACCCTTCATTGGCTCTCTTCTCTCAAGAAAGGCCAGGAGGACTCTGGGATAACAAAAACAGTCTAATGATGTCTATTTTTTGTTTGTTTTGTTGTTCTTGTTGTTTTAAGTGATGATGACTATCTTTTGTAAAATTCAGACTTTCTCTGATGAGAGGTGGATATACAGTGTATTTCTGAACTTTGTGAAGGGAAGTTTTTATTCTCCTGAACTCAGAGGCAGGAAGGTAGGTGTACACATTATTTGTGAAGTGCAGAGTCTTGGGCCCCCTGGTGGCTGGCCTTACAAAGGCATAAAGCAAAAGCACTCAGTGCTCAACTTGATTTTTTTTTTTTTTTCTTTGTGATTTGGTTAAACTTTTACAAAGCAAATTGGTTGGCCATTCAATAATCCATACACATTTTTGCTACTGTGACTTGAGTTCTGCATTGAGTATGGGTGTGCATATATCTGTTTGTGTCATGGCTCTTATTTCTCTAGGATATATACCTAGCAATGGGATTGCTAGATCCAAAAAGCAATACATCCTGAACAGGTAGGATTGATACCAGGTATACAAGGATGGTTTGAGATTAGAAAAACAATCAACATAATCCATCACTTTAATAAAATAAAGAAAAAGAACCACCTAATCATATCAATCAATGGAGAAACACAACAGAAGGAAAATTCCTCAACATAATTAAGAGCATCTACAAAAAGCCAACAGTCAACATTATTCTCAACAGAGAGACTAAAGCCATTCCCCTTGCAAAAAGGAACCAGAAAACAATGGTTATCACCACTGCTCTACATTGTTGCATTGGAGGTCCTAGACAGAGCAGTACCGCAAGAAAAGGATATAAAAGGCATCCAAATTGTCAAAGAAGTAGAACTATCTCTACTTGCAGATTACATGGTCCTATAAGGAGCTCTGGTAGCGTAGTGGTTACGAATCGGACTGTGAATCTTAAGGTCAGCGGTTCGAAACTACCAGCCGCTCCGCGGGAGAAAGGTGAGGCTTTCTACTCCCATAAAGATTTACACCACTGAAACCCTGTACAGGGTCGCTATGGGTCGGAACCGACTCGAAGGCACTTAACAACAACAACACAATGCATAGAAAGGAGTCCTGGTGTGGCGCTGTGGGTTAATGCGCCAGACTGCAAAGCCATTTGAACTGCAAGGTCGGTGATTCAAGCTCACCAGCTGCTCCTTGGAAACCCTATACAGCATCTCTATGGGTCAGAACTGACTCGACAGCATGTAACAACGTACATAGAAAATTCCAGACACTCAACAAGAAAACTACTGGAAGGAATAGAAGAATTCAATAAAATGTCAAGGTACAATATCAACATAATAAATCAGTCAGATTTCTCTACACTGAGCTCTGAAAAAGAAATCAGGGAAACAGTACCATTTACAATAACTCCCAAAAGATCAATGTTGGTTGTTGTTAAGTGTCATCGAGTCAGTTCTGACCCATAGCGACCCTGTATAGGGTTTCTGAGGAGATGCTGGTGAGCTTGAACCACCAACCTTGAGGTTCAAACCAAACTTGCAATACAGCACATCAACCTGCAGGGCCTTACTAGGACTCCAAAGATTAATACTTAGAAATAAATCTAAGTCTAAATCTAACCAGAGAAACAAAAAGACCTATACAAAGAAAACCACAAACATTGCTGTATGAAACCAAAAAAAGACCTATACAAATGGAAGAGTATATACCATGCTCATGAATAGAAAAACTTCACATTGTGAAAATGCCAATACTACCCAAAACAACACAGATATAATGAATCTGAATCCCAATTCAGATTCCATCATAATTCTTTGAAGAGATGGAAAACTTAATCACCAACTTTATATGAAAAGGAAAGAGATGCTGGATAAACAATGCAGTGCTGAAGAACAGAGTAGGAAATCTCACACTCCCAATCTCAACACCTACTACACAGCCAGGGTTATCAAACAGTTTGATATTGGTGCACTAACAGACACATGGATTAATGAAACAGAATTGAGAACCCAGAAGTAAATCCATCCACTTATGGGCAGCTGATCTTTAACAAGGGCTTGAAACCCATTAAAAGGGAAGAGATGGTATTTAACAAAGGGTGCTGGCAAAACTGAATATCCATTTGCAGAGAAATGAAACATGA